TAAGCAGAGAGAGAGTCCTGTTAGTTGATATGAACTAGCAACAAGCAAATGGGAGTGGCAGAACTGCAAAATGCTCCCTTGAAGCCAAACAGCGCCTTCAAAATTCACTTGTTATTGTTTTTTTTCTCCAGTGTGAGGGCAAATTGTCCATTCAGTGCCCACTATTTCAGTTCATCTATGTGGATAATGTAACTGCGAAGCGTTCATTGCAAATCATGATGGATCGTGCTCTGTCACATGCAATGTCTCGTCGGGTGAATCATGGAAGCAGTCGACTGACGTCATCAACGTTATCACCACCGGCTGCAGCAGCCGTTAATCACTTGGCGGCTGTGATCAAAGCCCACGATGCGGTACGTTACATCCGATTCATTTTCCGCTTTTATTTTTTTATTATTCAGTCACGTTCACTGCGATTTATGGGACGTGTCAGGGTGGGAGAGGAATGGGCTTGGCGCGGCGCCAGCCTGTTTTTTCTACCGGCAGGCGACAAGACTGCATCATGCCGTTGGTGTCACTTATCCGCTTCAACAACTGGTGGAAAACGGGCTGGCGGCGCGCCAAACTCACCCTCACTGACACGCCCCATCATCCGTTGCGAACAAGACTGTACGGCCAGCAAGACCATATGAAATGTGAGTGACAATGACAAGTGACGGTTACTTTTTTGTGCTGCTTTTCATTCTTTTTGCGTAAAAGTCTAGAATGAAACGCTTTTTCTCCATTCTGTGGTCCCACCCCCCCTCTACTTCTACGTTACTTTCTTTCTTGTCTTTCTATTGGTTCGCCGCCATAAGATAAACCATTCATTAGTATCGGCAATAAGATAAACAGTGAAGAAACAAGATATGCCGAGGAGAGGAACACAGATTCTTTCATCAGTTGTAAATAAAACCCTAGGCCTTGACATTATGGGAAGATTACTCGCAGAAGGGAGCAGCAAAAGAAATCTTCAACTCCTCTTATTTCGACGTTTGGGATGCTTTTACGAACCTGTTTTCAGAAGTTGCCCTCGGTGGAACGAGCTCATACATCTCCCGTTGAAGTCCCTGTAAGTAATAATAGTAGTGGAGCTGGTTCTCGGAAGAGACCTATCGATGAATCCTTATCAACTGGTAACACAAATACGGATGCATTACTGGCGAGTATCAGTCGAGCAACGAGTTCTGGGGTTGTGGAGGGAGAAAGTGAGTCTATTCCTAGTTTCTATTTATCCTTTCTCTTTTTTTTCTTTTTCTCTCGGTATGAATTCTAGACTGTACTCTGGTCAAACACACAGCCTTTGAAATGTTTTCAGTTACGGATGATCTAGAATTAATCCCAATGTTCAATAGTAAACGAGTCAAGTCTGAATTTGAAGCTGATCACGATCAGGATCAAGATGGCTCCATGATCGACGATAGTATTCTGGACAACTTGAACCCTATGTAAGTATTAATCTGCAGGGCTGTGTTCATACTTCGCGACTGAAAAGATTCAGCGATTCAACGATTCAGGAGCTTGCGCGACGAGGTAATTATAGGTATCGATGTGGCGATTTGGGAAACTCGGCATATCCGGCGATTATGCGCCAAAGGATTGGATGGGTTTTGATCGACGCCAGTTGCTAGCTATTGCTAAGATTTGGTGAACTGGCGATTTGACAGCATGAGCGATCCTGCGATTTGAGAGACTGGGCGATAGGGCAGATCGCCGAGTCGCCGAATCTCCGCAGTGGCCGGCAACTGGCGCGATCGATACCCATCCAATGCTTTGACGCGCAATCCCGGGTACGCCAAGCCCCCTGATTCGCCGAATCGTTTTTTCTCTCTATCACCCGATCGATATCCATAATCGTCGCGCGGTCTCTCCCATGACCGAACCAACCAAATCGCAAAATCTACCAAATCGCCGAATCCTCCCAGTGGCAAAGCATGAGAGTGGCTACTTTATTTCATTTTGAAATGTTTTTCTTTTTTCCCTGTTGCTCTTTATAACGCCCCTATGAACGTGCTAGTCTACGATACTGCTTTAAGCTCGGTACTGGACAACGTGGCAGCCTTGTTCGCATCAGACGGGCGGCTGGATGATAGCTATGCTGATTCGCATCCGGAAAAACCCTCAAAAAGCCAAAGTGCGAAAGCACTGAGCAGCGCGTGAGTATTCTTAAGTCTATAGCTCTTTTTTTCAAAACTAAACGTCATATTTGCTGAAGTATGAGCCGTTTTTCCATTATTTCGTATTAGTTCCAGAATATCAAAGAAACGAGTGCTGGGTGAATGTAGTAAGTGTCAGAAACCAGTAACTGCGGGTGCACGTCAAATGCATATGTTCTTCCATCTCGCCAAGGATCATGGGGTAAGTGCTTCGGCTTTCTGCTACCACTCTGATCCATTTTTCTTTTTAGTTTGAAATTATGCCATGTGTGAGCCCGATTACAATGGTAGTTGGACTAAAGCGCATTTGTAGTTCTGCGTTCATACTTTTCTTCGGCGTTTTAAGCGACTAAGAAGGTCTAGGTATCGGCCTACCCTTTTGAACCAACGGTAGCTTTTTGAGCGTTTCGCGGGCTTGAACTTTTGCAAGCAATCGCTGGAAACGCTGGGCGTACATTAAAAAAAGACATATCGCTAACTGTACTTCTGCCGTCGCTCAAAACGCAGGCAAACTATGAACACGGCCTAGTCCCAAACCAGCGCGATTGCTTTCGTTGTAATTCATTACTTTTCCGATTGATTACTTTTGGAGACTCAAGATTTTTACTTTATTCCTACCCTACCTCTCACCTTTTTACACTTGGCGTTGCTGAAGGCTAGATGTTATGAACATCACTTCCCTATATTTCAGACTTTCCGTTTCCGATGTCTCTTCGAAGGTTGCACGGTAGAACATTACCGTAAGGATCAAATGGAGAATCATCAATCGAAAATCCATGGCAAGATAGATCCGGACATGATGGAAGATCGTTCTCTCGAGCTATTCCATCGATGTCAGGTTAGCAGTTTGGCAGCAATGCTGATCACTTGCTTCCTTTTTCTGTTTTCATTCCTATTGTTTTTTATAACTTCCATAAGATAACTTTGTTTTGCGGTAACTTCCATTGGAAAAATCGAGGTGGTGGTGATGAGTGGTCTATGGGCGCAGTTTGGCGACGGGGAGGGGCGCTTTGCACTTTTGCTGCTTTATTAGTTCCGGTTTACAAGTAGTAGTCTGGTGAAACCTGTGAACTCTTGGAAAGTTGGAGCAAGCT